AAAATAAACAAACTTTTCACCCCAGTGAAAGCGTGAAACGTAAAATGTTTAAAAAATACCTTGAAAAATTATTTTAACTCCGCATTAAAACACAAAAATACAAAAAAATAAAAATTTACTAGCTTTTTTAGGTCAAGGGCAGTTGTGTAGTAATACTAAAGGTGGATATTGCAGGATAATAGTAAAAATTTAACTTCGTTAAATCAACATATAGTTTGATTAATAATTTATGTTGGCAACAATGACTTTTGAAAACATTTTATTTATTTCAACATTATTTTTTTATAAATTTCGTCATATCCTTAAAACCTTTTTTAATACGCGTAATCAATCAATATTAGTATTAAATATAACAATACATTTTTCATAGAAATACAAATATATATTTTTTGCTTCATCATTTATTATATATTCAGTATATGAAAAAAAAAAACAAATGAAATTTGTAAATTTGAAAAAACACTTAGAAATTACCCTCATAATTTTGGTGGCAATTTATTTTTTTATAGCGAACTTAGAGAAAAATATCTTCTAAAGTTGTAAAGTATTACCCGAGTAATTTTTGAGTCATTCATGCTTACGAACTCAGAAGACCCACATTCTCTGCACTGAATCCTGTTAAGGATTATAGTACAACTAGTTAGGTTATTCCTTCACAGGGCAAATTAGAAAAGTACTTATCATTTTTAACTCTGCTAAAATTCTATAGATTTCATCAGCTTTCAACATGTTTATCATTTTACAGATAATGGCGTTTTACTCTTTACTTGTTGTTATCATCTGTCTTACCGTGAAAGAAGGGCTGATCCCAAATCTGCAGCAGCAAAGCTAATTGAGAATTGTAGTATAATTAGTTTAAGTATTCGTTTAAAGAACTAATAAGAAAAAGGTTTATCCTGTTTTACTTCGCTTTTACTTCTAAATATTTCATCAGATGCTTATCATTCCACAGATAATAGACTACTTATTAAACACTATAGTTAATTAAAAAAGCAATTATCCTTTGGTACTCTGCCTAAATTCTAAAGACTTTATCAGATTTGAACATACTTATCAATCCACAGATATTAGACTACCTATTAAGCACTATAGCTAATTAAAAAAGTATTTATCTTTTGGTACTCTGCCTGAATTCTAAAGACGTCAAGAGATTTGAACATGCTTATCATTTCAAAGTAATGTCCTTGCCTAAATTTCAACCTTCATTGTTTGCAATCATATGTTTTTACCATGGAAAAAGGATTGATCCGACATTTTCAGAACCGAAACCTATTAAGCACTGTAGCTATTTAAAGCACTATAGCTAATTAAAAAAGTAATTATCCTTTAGTACTCTGCCTGAATTCTAAAGACTTTATCAGATTTGAACATGCTTAATATTTCACAGATAATAAACTAGCAAAAATTTCACTCTTCACATCTTTTTCACGATGGAAAACATCTAACTTCTTTGACTAGAGTTTCTAGATTTTGTCTACTATCAGCTAAACTTCTACACTATCTAATTATGTGGTCAGGTCTTTTAGTTTTATATAGACAAAATGGACAGTTGGGACTACTTGGAACTCCGAACAAATACATATATTCACGAAAGCATGCATGCCTAGTTAAGAACTGTGACAGTTAAAATCTCAAATCACCAACTACTTAAGTAATCGTTGATGTTACTATGGGCCTTTATGTTTAGAGTAGCAAATACGTCAATCTTGAATTTTGGGAGTGAACTCATCAATGTTGCAACAGATTGTGGCATTTATTTCTATTTTCTGAATAAGAAACTAACATAAATTCGAGACTCTTAGATGTTGTGTACCTGAAGACAAATCAACCCCTGGTTGCAAGCGCTTTCGGATTTTCAGGTATATGTCCAAGTAACACTCTTGCAGCAAAATATGACACTATGCGGTATGTGAAGGTTCGACAGTCAGTCAGTTAGTATAATCGCACCGGCTCACACAGCGTTAGTTGTGTCGCAGTTTTTGGACAAAATCTCCACCAATATCATTAAATAAGCACCATACTCTTCAGATATTGCCCCGTGTGACATTTTCCTCTTCTCCCGACTCAAATTGCCATTGCGATGAACGTGTTTTGAGACCATAGAGGCCATAAAAGAGAATTCGCTGCGTGAACTAAAGGCCATACCTTTGGCGGCCTATAAAACTTGTATGGAATATTGGATCAAGCGTTGGCATGCATGTATTGCCGCAGGAGGAGAGTACTTTGAAGGCGATAATAAAGAAAACTATTAAAAATTTTGCGTTTTTTTTTAACTTCTCGTCCTTTTTTGATCAAATGGTATGTGTTCACATAGTGGCAGCTGTGTGGCTTAACTGTGCCTTAAGAATAAATTTTTGCGATATAATGCGTGGATTTGAATTGCCTGTAAATCTCAAGATAAATTAAATATATCCAAAAAAGATGTTCACATACAATCAGTAAATTTATTTGTTTTGATATGAAAATCAATTCTGTTAACACTTTCAAAGAGAGTTCAGAGGTAGTTAACGATACCTTAAATAAAAACTCACTAATTGAAGTTATAAAAATTTATTACTTTTACGTCATTTACATCAAAAGAAAAACTAAATTTATTTATTAATATTATAAAAAATATTAAAAGATTGTATTAATTGTTGATATGGCTGTTATATTTATCTGTGAGTAATCTCGCTAATTAAGACATCACAGTGATAAATGCAACAAATCAATCAAGTATTGAGCTATTCACTGCGATATCAATAAACAAATCGTAACTACATAAACATAGAAATTTAGTCGACAATATTTTACTGTACTGATACCTCAAACTCAATCTGGCTATAACTAATAGGAAGAAAAGTCCTTTCGATACAATTTGCCGGCAGTCCATGGAAATGTAAGCACAAGACAGATTTGATAAGAAGCAGTAAAGAAAATTTTCTTCGCCAAATAAAGTTAAAAATCATCAATCAAAAGTGACGACAACACGCAGGTTGAAAGATCATCAATTTCTAAGCTTATCAATAAGAAATAAATTGACAGCAATCAAATAGTATCAAAAAATTGTACAACAAATGTTGCATATCAGCAGGCGTCTGAGCATACCTAAAACGATTGATGAAAAATTAATGGGCATCAATAATAGGTATTCCTTGGAAAATATATATGAAAAAAATTTTAAATAATTGAGAATATTGATAAAAAAAAGGCACAAAGGCGAAAAAACAATAAACATAACTACGGATCAAAAAATCATTAATAAAATTTGTCAATATAACAAATTTAATAAAAGATGAGAAATTGTTGCTTTCATTAAGTAATACACAA